ACCAAACAGGCACATCACTTAAAACTAAAGGTCGAAGTGTCAGCATATTACCTCTGAGCACATGTGAACATGTGTGCAAATGAAAAAGTTGGAAGAAACATGAAAAATCCAACTTTAAATGCAAAGCACCAGCAGAACAGCAAAATAGTGTAAATGCAGCATATAACGAAAAACAAAAGAAATTCCAAGATCAACTTAAATTATGTATTTTTATAATAAGCTTTCTTGTGTTAAATTACTTTTATTGGTGGAATGAGGTATCCTCCACTAGTGAACACAAGGTTTGCAGAATCCCTCTGACAACACTTCTGAAAACAACAGGTAGTAAGAACTGATTAGCAGAGCATCTTGATATTATAAAGTGCAGGTGTGTGAAATTGTTACAAGCCTTTTCATGTTACTTCTAACGTCAGTGTATCCAATTGTAAATTCATGAAATATGATTCAATGAAAAAAATGTGAATAGTTTTCGAAAAGTTCCCAAACTTTAGAATTTTAGCCCCATGCTTCCCCCGCGGCATAGGTGTACTAAAACGAAGCAACACTCGTGACAGCAGTTTCACTAGCGTATTGAGTAGACATGTGGAATGCACAATTATTAAACTAGATTTCTTTCTTGATTTGGAATGCCATTTATGAAGAAGAAAATAGATGGTGCTATGGATGCCATTTATGACTTAGTCTGTACTTTTCATTTGTTAAACAAAGAGGTGCTTATTTGACGCTGCTGTATTGCCTAAATTCAAAATACCATTTGAGAAACTTGTTTAAACCTAAATAGATTATAAATTTGAAATCAATATTTTATATATCTTTTAATAAATCTCAAGTGTGAAATTACTTGATTCGTTGGAAATTATTTAAACAGTATAACAATTATAATTGATCTGTGATGCTATGCAAAGAAACACTAATAAAGTGATATAAATTTCCCCTAACATTGAAAAGTACTGTTTACACTGTAAAATATTTGTATTTGCAAATAGGACGGAAACGGCATTGCTGGTTCTTAGTGGAGCAGATCAGCTGTCATTCTAAGACTCCCTGGGATATTCATTATGAAATCAGCTCTTCCCAACAGCTTTTGCTATGGCAACTTGTCAGCAGAACCATGGCTAATATAAAAAGGACGTTCCACTGGTTTTAACTTTCTGCTGCAGTTCCCTGCAGTGCAAACTACTGAGACACGAGTTCATTTGTTTCTACGTAAACAAAACCCGAGACTCAGCAACACAGCAGACAAACACACAGAGCGTCTCTTTGTTCCTGAGTGTCGGGTTTTGTTTTCGTAATGAATCGCCACCAGCTCCCTTGTTTTTAAGTATTATCTAATGTGTCCCCTCATTGAAATTTGGTTTGTGCGTCTTAACATTTAAACACTGGAGAATAGAAACATGAGGCAGCACAAATAAACCAGTTCGCTTTTTAAAAAAAAGTAGGTACGCACAGAAACCATATTCTCTTTGGCTTTTAAATGCATAAAAGATAATATCAAAAGTTGGAATGAACAACCAAAATAACAAGTATGTACGACAGTACCTTGTAGTCAGGGAACAGTTCGACCTTCTTGATGTGCGTTGTTGCTGTGCACCCCATCTTTTTTTAACCTTGCAGCTTTGTCTTCTTCCTTGCAAAGGTAGCATCAGTCCAGTCAGTTGAATGACTTGCCTGTAGGCGCAGAGTGGACAAAAAGTATCTTTCATTAAATCAAATTGTTTGGGTTCAATAATTCCTTTAAATCGTTCTTTCCGATTGTACGCTTAAAGCCCTTGTCGAACCATGTAGTGTCGAACTTTAATTGCAGCACAGTAGAGAAAACCAGTTTATCGGTCAACAGATTATCTTAGGTATAAAAATGTGCAGTAAAATGTAACAAAAGAATGTTTTATTAACAAAAACACAAATCTGTTTGTTGTTTTTTTGTTTGAATGAACGTTGTGACGCTCTCTTCCAAATATGCACCCTTTGCTCATTTCGGAAACAATCCGGAACGGCACATCAATCTCGATTGGCACAGCTCCACTTTTAGCACTAAACATCAGTCGTGCTGAAAGAAGAAATAAATAGAACATTCAAGCGAGATATTGTGAGAATAATTAGGTAATCATTCTTTAAAAAAAAACGCAATTGAAACTCGCAGAACGTACTGACTATATTCATGTGTGAAATATTCATGCGACGTCCGAGAATGTTACTCATGTTCGCAAGAATGTTGTGATTGCTAGGCTCCCACTGAAATTGGCGTGAAAGATTTTCAATTCATATACAGAAAAGACAACAAAAAAATATAGTTTATGAGTACTTGTCTAACATACATATTTACTTTTCTGTTCGGCATTTGATGTAAAATACCTAGATTACTTAATTAGATACCTAACAAATAAATATTTATAATAACAATAATAATATCAATAATAATGAAGTGGCTAAGAGCTTATATATAAACTTATATGTAACTAATAATTTATATATAAATAAAAACACTTCAAAGCAAAAATTAAAAATGAAGCTTTCGTGCTTTGTTATAACACTTAGTAAATACTTAGAATTGATGCAAACGTTTCACCTTCCTAACATTAATATTAGAAAAAATATATGAAACCCGTTGCCACAATTAAAACCTACTAAAATATAACTAAAGAAGCTAATAAAAATGCATAACGAAAAAAAAACAGCGCGACTAGGACAAAGACAAAAGGAGGAGATACACAGGACAAGCGCTGACTAGCACCTCAATTATTATTGGAACGAAAACATGCTAGTCAGCTCTTCCTGTGTATCCCTCCCTTTTGTCTTTGCCCCAGTCGCGCTGTTTTTTTTTTTTTTTTTTTCAATTATGAGCAATATTTAATTGTTAATTATCTAATGAAATAATTTAGCTATGATTATCATATTTTACCTGCAGATGCCCAACGACAAAGCAAATGGGTTAGCCCGGTTTCTTCAAGCTATTTTTTTTAATAAATTTAGAACTGTTCGCGCAAATTTCAGCGGGATTCAGTTTTCTTTTGGTTTTCCTACGAAACTAGTATTCTGAAAAATCGTTGTAGTTTATCGTGTTTAATTATTCACTAAACCTCTATGATATCCACGGTTGATAAAAAAAAGAACCTGATCTCTCTTTCACGGAGATTATAAGAAATATGTCATCCAATACCGAATACTTCACTTCTGGGTTATCCTGAAATTTTCTGATATCGCGTAAAGATGATTAAATTCGCCACAAAACTACAGTGATTTACATATGCCATATTCGCTTACCTTTCGAATCTTGATCATCGCTGTAGCGTGAGGACTCGGTTTGGTACGATACATTTTTTGTCAACAGTGAGCGTTCAAACTCTTTGAACGTGGTATCGTCGTCGAGATAACCTATCCACTGCCCGTCACTCTTCTTCGCGTCTTTCAAGTACTTTCTTATAGTGTCCTCTTCCTCGCGCAACTCCTCAGCTGACGCACTTTCTAAGCATTCAGATACCGAAGCAGGATCCATCGCGGGAACAGCTGGTTTCGGTGGGAGTTTCGTTTTCTGAAAGTGCGCGGGAAGTTCGCGAGCGCATGCGCACAGAATCAACAACGTAGTGGCTGTTTCGTAATTAAGATATTTGACAAATTTAAGAAACACGTAATATACCTCATTTAACAATTTTTCATCACGAAAAAAAAACTAACCACAAAAAAAAAAAAATTAAAAACTACATTGTTGACCTAAAGTAAGCAAACGACACATCCGTTTTTTTTTGTTTTTTTTTTTTGTACTGAAGTGACGTCCGAAAACTCGCTCCCACGAGGTGCACGTAAAGTTCGCTTTTTGCTCTCTCTCTTTCTCTCTCTCACTGTGGTTTCAAGCGGCGCCGGAAGATGACTCGTCGACCCGTGGGCAAGACAAAGACGGATCGTGCCGCCTCATGCTCCTCACGCGCAGAGCTCCAGCGAGGTTGTCGCTCGTGCAGAAAGACCACGGTGTACCGGGGTGTCATGGTAACGAGATACTTCTTTTCGCTCTCACACAGTTTCGCTGTTTGACCGCCGGCGACACTGCCAGCCGCGGGAACAGTGGCCGCGGAATAATGCAGCCTTCCGGATGTCCGTCAACCGAACACTATCTGATTCCTCGCGCCGCGCGTTTAGCCCCGCCGTGTCCTCACCTAAAGAGTGTATCTTACACCGTGACCATGTCATTCCACCGCTTGCGCTCGCTCTTCTTTCTGCCTTGCATGAGCTCTCAATGCCTTATTTTTCTTGAATATTTTGGTCCATTAAACATGTATACTCGGAAAATATCAAATAGGAATATATCACGTAAGAATATATAGGAATGATATAAGATTATATAAGAAGTTATAGGAAACTCTTATATGTTCTTATATAATTTTGTTCTCCTCATGTTTCCCTTCCCCCAATTAGGGTGCCTCCATCTGCCGGCCGCTTCCGCCGACAGGGTGGAGACACCAATGGAGCCAATGGAGAGCCACAGTATGGCGCCTGAAGTCAGTATTAGCTCCACATTGAAAGTCGGTCCTTAGAGTGTGTGTGACAAAGTCGTGGTGCAAAAACGTTGTGTTTAGCGAAAGTTCGATAAAGATAGATGCAATATGACGCCGGTGAGAGCATCGCAAAGTTCGCCACAAAATGGCGGATGCCTCCACCCTGTCAGCGGAGCGGCCGGCAAATGGAGGCACCCTACCCTCAATGAGGCCATGGCGCAGCCTTTATGGAAAAAAAAGTTAATCGTCATCACCATCCTATGTGGTCTTATTTGATCATATGCGTTTATGGACAGAGAAATTTTTATACAAATAAGATTTTTCACCGGATATACCCCAGCCATAGTTTTTGGCGCCGCATAGTTTTTGGCGCAGCCATAAAACATATTTTTTTGATAATACAATTTGTTCCTATTAACGAAGCTATAACAAACATGAAGATGAAATATTATAAGTTAGTAGTCTAGTACCACATTCTCGCCCTAAAAAATTTTCAGGTCTGGCCGGACCCTTTCAAAGCCACAAATCTCCGGGATTGTTATCAGGCGACTTGATCACTTTCCGCCACAAGCCCCTCATGGTACAGTTCAATCCTTCGGGGTACCTGTAAAAAACCACGGCGCCGATAGTGTAGAGCATCGTCATGTTTTCACCAGTGGACACGTAACTGCTCATGTCCATGACCGGAAGCCGCGAGGACACCAGCCGGTCCTCCCCCTCGGTGCCTGTCTCGATGAACTCTTCCAAAGCACTGCGCCAGAGGACCATCACGCCAGGCTTGCACCCCTGTGTGCCACCTACGTCCCGAACAACGCAGTGGACGGTGTTCCTCCTGTGGTCCATATTGAGGATGCGGTAGTTGGGCAGGTAGAAAGGGTGGGGAAGAAACCTCTCTTCAAGGCTAACCACCAGTTCGACCTTGGGGCAGTGCTGAAGTATCCAGGGGGCGAAGTGGAGGAAACCCATGGACGGTCCAAGGACGACCATGTCGCCGTAGACGCTGCACTCCCTGTACATCTGCGGCATCGGCTCTCCCCGGATGTGCAGGACGGTGAGCCATCGGAGTGGCGAGGAGAACTGCGGGCCGGCGTAGGAATTGCGGATGAATAGGCGGACGCCTCGATTGTTAGCGTTGGTCTCGACGACAAACAGGACACGGATGGTGTCCGCCCTTCGGCAGGCTTCGATGACGCTGGTGCCGTTACAGGAGATGTCATTGGCTATTACCCGGCGTGGTCGTTGAACGAAGAAAGCGGACTTGTGGATGTCGCTCTCGTAAAAGCAGATTGCCAGGCCCGTCACGAGGAACAAGGCTAGGATCTCCCTCGTAGGCGTCTTGTTTATAATGCCTAACATGGTTCTCTGACTCTGCGGTCCTGCTGTTCCTTCGATGAGTGTAATGGCGCTTTCACGTGCCGGCCTTGTGTGCATTGGTGCACGTGTCCCCGTTGTTCTTATGCTTCCTTTTCCACTATCGCGCCGCAGCTCGGATCGGAGCACGTGGAGCAAAAGCTCGCGCTGCGAAACCCAGACTTTTTGGTAAAGTCCCGTGATAAATTTCCCGCTTATAAATACCACCAACCATTGTTGTGGAAACGCGAAAAACGCACAAGGCGGGTGCTCCACAGCCACTTGCTTTCAAACTTACGCTCAGTTCAGTGCTGCTATGGTGGGCTCGAAGGAAAGGTGTGACAATCGCTTGCTTCGCCCAGCGGGAGGAAATGACAAGGCTGTTTAGCACGCAACGTTAGTGTCGATATGCCCGAAGCAGCGCCACAACGGCACTCCTCCGCGCTGTGAACACTAAAGGCCGGTTCTCACATGCAGCCAAGCGCTGATGTAGCGCTCCCCACGTGCCATCAGCTACTTATCGTATGCCATGAGCAACAGTTTTGACGGTGCGATACAAAGCTGGTGAACGCTGTCGTCAACACGCGCTTAGCGCGAGGTTAGCGCTATGCTTGTAGCGCTCCGCTGCATGTGTGAACGGGCCTTAAAGGAGAAGGAAATGTCTCCAGCGTTGGTAACAATCGTGAAGGGCCGCATAATGAATTTTTCCTCGAAATGAAGTTCGCTTACTGCTGACCTTGTTTCTAAGCATTTGTCGCATGTTCAAAGTCTTTCAAGTTTTTTTGTTTGTTTTTTCTGGATACATGCACATGTCTTGCAGCCCAAAAGTGCCTTCATAAAATTCACGCTCACAAGTACATTGTTGTGGAAACGCGCAAGACACGTGCCACGAGCGGGTGCCCTGCGCCGTTCGCTTCCAAAAGCCGCTCATTTTAGTGCTGCGCCGCCATTATCATTCAAGGGCCGCTCGAGACACGGGCATCGTGCACTAGTGCTTGACTGACGCATTTGACGCTACTTGCAAAAGTAATAAACATTTCGTTTAAAAACGCAAAAAAAAAAACATATTTTAAACTGGATTAAACGATGCAGTGTTTTTGTCGCTGCTTGGTACTTATTGTACCATTGTGCACGGCACAATAAGCTCCATACAAACCGCGCGACCAACCATTTCAGCTTCAATGGGTATTTAAAGCGATCGGTTTACTTCTGTAATCACCTACACAGTGTTGCAGCCTTGGGGGCGACGGCGTTTTTGTCGCTGCTTTTTAGCCATAACTAGAGTAACTGTATATGCTCCGGCGAGTACCGCAATGGTGCTTCCAGGGCGGCTAAGTTGGATCCAAGGCTGCACTGCAGGAAGCTACCGTTAGAGTGTATTCTACTACCGTTGCTTCTGCAAGTGGCCCGGATGCGCGAGCTACGCGATCGTCATCCGTGTCGTCTTCTTCCCAGACTTTGACAGCATGTTTTAAAACGACGCGATTGCACTGTATCCAGTAGCTACAGATAATGTTGAATGGTCAAGGAACATTTCAGTTGGTTCTACTGCGTCTCCCAAATAGCGGCCAGGCCCTTTAAATCGACCGCTAAAATCGGTTTCTTAGCCAATCGCGTTCCGATTTTGTACAGCGTAAGCCACAGGTGGTGATTTTTTTTTTTTTTTTGTAAAGCTTGCGAAGAGCGGATTTATTTGAGGAAAAAGTAAAAGAAGAAAAAGGCTTAACTCCTACGGAAAGGCAGCGAAGCCACCGGTCTTCAAACCATAGGGCGCCCCATGGTTTGAAGACCGGTGGCGTACTACAGTTTAAGATTGGGAGAAAACAATTAATGAAATTCTACATGCGTGCTATATCTACATGATTCTACACATTTGCTTTATGCAGTAACTCAAAAAAAATATTTCTACACACGCGTCTTTGCGAGGGAAAAGCTGTTTCTGGTCAAAAACAGCTCTAAATTTTACTCTCTGGATGACATTTTAAAGTATCTACGGTTATTTTTGTACAATATACTTGTAACGAATAGGCACAGTTTCGGTTTGCTTCTACTCGCTTGGTGCCAATTCCGAAACTATGAACTCCTGCGAAAACGGGGCATGATTTCATATCGAGATAAAAAGTCGGAACGGCAGAGTGTACCTTATAAACGAAACTGTCCCGGCCGAAAGGGACGTCTATAGTCACCCTACCCGTCTTGCATATCTACGAGCGTTTAAAAACATTAAAAACGTAAAGAATAAGGTACGCGGGCTATGAAAAGTTTTTTTTTCCTCTGCCGGGCAGCTTTTATCGGGCACTTGTTATCAAATATTTTGAGTGTGGGGGTGATGTTTTGAACGTAGAACAAGCATATTCGTACAGAGCAGAAAGAATAAAGCAGTACTTACTTATTGAAAATCGGACTATATTACGTGGCCTTCAATTTGTTTTGATCGTACATGCACAGGGAGTTACTGATCCAGTGTTACTGCATAGTTCTTGCCGCCTTTCTTAGTTTTCCAAATGTCCTTTGTTCGTTTGGCACGAATATCCCCCATGCTGAAACGCGCCGACGTCGTATTCGACGTCGGCGCGTTTCAGCATGTACAAAATACATGTACAAAGCCGTTTTAGTACCGTTTTGAATGTAATTACTTTAAAAGGAAAACGTCGCAAGTGATTAATTATTTCGTCTGCAGGACTGAGAAATGTCCCAAGCTACCTAACGTGCGCGTTATTCGGGATATTTGTTCTTGGAATCGAGCGCAAGGAGAAAATGCACTCACTTTTTCCAATGCGGAGGGCAAGTTCGTCTGCTTCTTGTGCAGAATGCTGAGCCCTGATTGGCTGATCGCGACCCCCTGTCTGAGCGTTGTCTGCTCCTTTGCAACGTTGTCTGCTCGCAACGTCGTCTGCGTCTGTCTTACCTCTCCTGCCACTTTCGGAAGTGCAGAGGCCACGAAACGATCTTACGCCAAAAATGTGCGTAAGAGACAACTTGAGAATAAATTGGTATTCACGAAACAAAATTTTCGCAAGTTTTGCGCGGGTTACAACAAAATCCTACGACAGCCTTGAAGCTGTCTTACGCACTTCAGCATGACCGACAGCGTCGCGGCCGCGACGACCCACGGACGTTTATTTTTCTACGTGCGCTTCTCACGCGTCCCGACTTCAAGCAGCAAGAAAAAAGTAAAAGGTACTTGAAACAGACCACGACGAACAAGAACGCTGGATCCACAAACACCCGGGAAAAGCTCCAACGGCCCGTCGGCCACGATTCCATCGAACGCGACCAAGCGAGTTGGGCAGTTAGGCCTAGCAGGCACTCCGCGACTCGGCGACCGGCTGGCGTGCTGAACGGAATATGCCCGCGCGACCCTTGTGAACCCTTCCCGTATTATACTTTGATCGCTGACCTCAATTTTAAATTAAGAGGTCAATTTTTTCCTCTTGTTATCTCCTTGTTTCCCGAGGCAACGGTGGCTCTCGCCGGTGAGAAAGCGGTGAATCTCCGACAGACGCAGGAAAGGTAAAGCAGCCATCGCTTTGACTAGACCCCGCAAAGCAGACGACGTTAACTGCGCCAACCCGCCCACGCCGTTAAAGAATGAGGGGTCTCACCCCATACCAAAGGAGGGAAAAAGTATTCGGGAGGAAACTTGCGGACACTAACACGCTCACCTCTCGGTTCTTAGCAAACAAACCTCGGCGCCTCGGGACACCTCGCCAGTGAGTCCTTTGCCTTCTCTCCTTGATGCGCGTCTGCTAGTTGTTAGACAAAAACAACGTACCGCTCGAGTTATTTCGTCTGCCCTCTCTGAAAGGCGAAGTCGAGCTTCAAAGTCGCAGGAAAGGTAAGACAGACGCAGACGATGTTGCGAGCAGACGACGTTGCAAAGGAGCAGACGACGCTGAGATAGGGGATCGCGATCAGCCAATCAAGGCTCGGTGTTCGGACGTCACCGCTACTTCCTTTCTCATGTGGAAAAGACGAAAATGAGCCCACTTGCGAGGCGTATGGGAATGATTACCGGAAGTCAGCTAGCGCCAGTTGAACCTCTAGCGTAAATTATAGTAACCCTAAGCGAGAGCGATGCGTGGCAGATGTGCCGTATGATCTGATTTTGGACTTTATTATTTTCCCCCAGAGGGGGGCGGGCCACTCCCGGAAGTAGTGCAATACCGGGTCGACCCTAGCGCCCTCGAAAGCAAGCTTCGTAGGGACGCCAATTGCAAAAATAAGTTTAATATCTTGGACCAATTAGGCCCGTATCAGATATTAAGCTGATAAGAACAGAAACTACAAATGATCTTAGCCAAAAGGCCGAGAAGCGATACTTCTGCTTGCAGCAGATTTTGCCCCACCTACAACCAGCTTCCCGCGATAGCGAAGTACCCCAACAACTTAATATCATATTTGTCGACTACTACGAACGAACTAATAACAATATTCTAAACAGCAATTTTACTATAACCAAGTTAGTTCTATCCATAAGTTACATCAATCACAAAAGGAACTCTTAAGCTATATTCTCGATATTTGTGTGCACCGAAACGTGCAGCTTCTTGTGCCCGTAAATTATCCCCCCCCCCCCACCCCCCACCCCCCCCCCCCCCAAAAAAAAAGGAATTTTTGTTTGTATTTTTTGCTGGAACAACCGGGAGGACAAGCGGGAACGGATCGTAAGCTGACAACATAGCTATTCGCACTCGGCGGACCAATCAACCCCATATTTTTTATCACCTGACCTCCAATCATACTGCGTGTGGGTACGGACAAGAGCGTGATCACGTGGCGATAGATAGAGACAGGATTGGTCCAACGAGCGCTTGGCTTCCACCGCACTCTCAGCTCAGGGGGTGAAGAGAGCAAAGCGCCTCTGTTCGCCCGTAAGCTGACAGTGCGGTGGAGGCTGCGTGCTTTGTGGACCTGCCATATTTCGCCACGTGATCACGCTCCCATTGGTACCCATGCTTTGCGTATGAGGACATGCAGCTTGTCCTCTTCTCCCTGGCGAGATTCAGATAGGGTGTGGTGTAGATGATGCGCGACACCACAACCAGTTTGATCGTGTCGTCTTCCCTGAGGTCGTGCCGCCGGCTGGCGACCCGGTGCATGATGCTTAGAATCTGGGTGACTTGGCTCTGGAGGAGTGTGAAGGTATGTGTCGCCTTTCCGTCCTCCTGGAGGTGGAGTCCCTGGATTCTGGCACGCGGCACCACGGGGATTTGGGAGCCGTCGTCCAGGAAGACTTGTATCTCGCCTCTGGGCTCCGACTTGCGACGGGACCTTGGGGTCTTGCAGACGATCAATTCCGATTTGGCTGCCGAGATGTGTATAGGTGACCCTGGCGTAGGTACCGTTAAACATGGTCAACTGCCGCCTGAAGCGCGTCCTGCTTCTCTCCGTCAGACCCGGACACGGTCCAGATTGTGGGATCGTCCGCGTACAGAGAGTGTTTAATGTGCGGGATGCGCTCCAGAATCGGGGGCAGCCCGCTCATTGCCATGTTGAACAAGGTTGGCGAGAGCACCGCCCCCTGCGGCGTGCCCCTATGGGGGGTGTTGATGAAGTTCTTGCAGAGGTCACCTGCAGCAATGGTGGCTGTCCTGTTCCGTAGAAAGTCCCGCAGGTAGTTGTACATTCTGGAACCGTAATTGTGACTGTCATGTTTCGGAGGATTAGCTGGTGGTCTACATTATTAAAAGCTCCCTTGACGTCCAGGGCGAGCACCGCTTGGGTCATCGTCCTAGAGATGGGACCGATAATGTCCTCTTTTAGCTGCAGCATGACGCTCTGGGTGGACAAGTGCTCCCTAAAACCAAACATGGTGTGCGAGAGAACACGCCCGTTCCTTCCATGTGCGGCTGCAGCCCTTTGAGGACGACCTGTTTCATCAACTTTCCCACGCAGGACGTGAGGGCGATTGGTCGCAGGTTGTCGAGGCAAAGATCCTTCCCAGGTTTGGGGATGAGAATAATTTCTTAGTGTTTCCACTCCCTGGGGAGCTCCCCGTTCTCCCATACCTGGTTGATATGTTTCAAGAGGGTCTGAACCGAGCCCGCGTCCAAGTTACGGAGCAGCGTATTTTGCACGCGGTCCTCGCTAGGTAGCGTATTATGGCCCAGGTCTTGGAGCGCGCTCCATACTTCTTCAAAGCTGAAGGGGAGGTCGAGTTCGGGGTTAATTGGCTCGCCTTCGTAGTCATGATACTCCTCGTCCGGGGCGAGCCGATATACCATAGTTTGAGCTGTTCGAGGAGGTCCTGGTTGGTGCCGGGGAAGTCGCGTACATAGGTGTAGACTTCGGGGCGGGGAAGTCGCGCACATAGGCGTAGACTTCGGGGGGGGGGCATCGGGGCTCGTATCCCCCCTGGTGAGCTCTGCCACCCCCCCCCCTCCCTCGGGCCCAAACCATGATCCTTACCGAGACGCTGTTTACGTTCCATGTAACAAGCTTCTAGAGGTTTTCCCGCTCATTTTAATCCAAGCGACGACCAATTTAATCCTTTGGTCACTCAATTTAATCCAAGCGCTATACAATTTAATCCAAGCGCCACACAATTTAATCCCAGGGTAAGTCAATTTAATCCGCAATATATATATGCACTTACTTTGTTCAGTGGTCGTGTTTTGCTTACACATTTGGTAACTTAGAATAATTGTTTATACAATTTGAATTTTTGGGGGAGCAATTGATAATTTGTTCACTAATGTGATTACTTTGAGTTACTAGTGCCACTATTGACGAGGCTTAATTGATATGTTGATTACTCTTTTTACAGTGCAGCTCTTAGGCACCCTAACCACGCGGTGCATGATGTGCGAATTCCCCCGCTAAATTTAGCGGAAACTTTCCCCGCTAAATCTAGCAGAAAATTTTCCCTGCTAAATCTAGCGGAACATTTTTACTGCTAAATCTAGCGGAACATTTCCCCCCCTAAATTTAGCGGAAAATTTTCTCCGCTAACTCTAGCGGAAAATATTCCTTGCTATATTTAACGGAAAATTTCCCCCGCTAAATTTAGCGGAAAATCTTCCCAGCTGGATTTAGCGGAAAATTTGTGCCGCTAAGTCTAGCGGAAAATTTTCTCCACTAAATCTAGCGGAAAATGTTCACCGCTATATTCAGCGGAAAATTTTCCCCGCTAAATCTATCGGAAAATTTTCCCAGCCAGATTTATCGGAAAATTTGCCCCGCAAAGTCTAGCGGAGAAGCTTCCCCGCTAAATCTAGCGGAAAATTTTTCCCGCTAAATTTAGCGGAAAATTTTTTCTGCTTGCTCTAGCGGAACATTTTCCCCGCTAAATTTAGTGGAAAAAGTTTCCCCGCTCTACTAGCGGAAAATATTCCCCGCTATATTTAGCGGAAAATTTCCCCCGCTAAATCTGGCGGGAACTTTTCCCAGCTAGATTTATCGGAAAATTTGCGCCGCCAAGTCTAGCGTAAAAGCTTCCCCGCTAAATCTAGCGGAAAAATTTTCCGTAAAATCTAGCGGAATGTTTTTCCTGCTAAATCTAGCAGAACATTTGTCCCGCTAAATTTAGCGGAAAATATTCTGCGCTAAATCTAGCGGAAAATCCTCCCAGCTAGATTTAGCGGATTATTTGCCCCGCTAAGCTTGGCGGAAATTTTCCACCGCTATATCTAGCGTAACATTTTCCCCGCTAAATTTAGCGGAAAATTTTCACGCTAGATTTAGCGGGAAAATTTCACGCTAGATTTAGCGGAAAAAAATTGTAGTGCCAAAGCGCGACACTTATTGTGGTGGCTCACGCAACGTCTGGAGCTAATAGGGTATTTTCGTAGATTGTTTCTGCTGCCCCGCAACGCTCTCCGCAACCATCTACGCTAGCCGGAACTCTACAGTCAAGGCCATCGGCGCGCCGGCGCAGTAGCGGCTTCTCCGTTGTGGAGGGCTTAGCGGAGGGTGAAACGCGGCCTACGAAAACTCCCTATAGGGAGTATTCACTGGCGGCCATATATGTGTGCACGAATGCTGAGCGCGTCCTGACGCCGAGCTTCCACAGTTCTTTTGCAACGTGCATTCGGCACCATCAAGAGTGCCGGTCTTAGCAGCCTATTAAAGTGAGCTCGTTCTGAGCATGCGCTCTAAACAGCACCCATAAATATGGCGCCCAGTGAATACTGCCTATTGACCTTTTTAGCGTGCGGCACGAGCAGCACCGACGGGACCGAGCTCCAGGCTCGAACAGAACAGCACGAGACTGGCAGCGTTCGACGGTGCATCAGGGTGGTCTCAGCGGAGCCCCCTTTTGATGATTTTTTAAAGTTTTATTGCGGTTATAAAGATCAGTTTGTTAATTTGCATCGACGGACGTCTTTCGTGAACCCCACAATTTTTCCGCTAAATTTAGCGGGGAAAATATTGCTCTAGATTTAGTGGGGAAAATTTTAAGCTATATTTCGTGGGGAAAATTTTCCGCTAAATTTAGCGGGGAAAATTTTCCGCTAGATTTAGCGTGGAAACTTTTCCGCTAAACTTAGCGGGGTAAACTTTTCCGGTAGATTTAGCGTGGAAAATTTTCCACTAGATTCAGCCGGGAAATTTTTTCGCCAAATTTAGCGAGGAAAAGTTTCCGCTAAATTTAATGGGGAAAACTTTCCGCTAGATTTAGCGGGAAAAAAGTTTCCGCTAAATTTAGCAGGGAAAATTTCCTGCTAGATTTAGCGGGGAAAATGTTCCACTAGACTTAGCGGAAAAAAATTTCCGCTAGATTTAGCAGGCAAAATATTCCGCTAAATTTAGCGGGGAAAATTTTCTGCTAGATTTGGCGGGGAAAATTTTCCGCTAAATATAAGGGGAAAGTTTCCGCTAGATTTAGCGCGAAAATTTTCCGCTAAATTTAGCGGGAAACTTTTCCGCTAAATTTAGCGGGAAAAAATTTCCGCTAGATTTAGCGGGGAAGCTTCTCCGCTAGACTTTGCGGGACAAATTTTCCGATAAATCTAGCTGGGAAAATTTTCCGATAGATTTAGCGGGCAAAATTTTCCGCTGAATATAGCGGTGAACATTTTCCGCTAGATTTAGCGGGAGAATTTTCCGCTAAATATAGGGGGAAATTTTTCCGCTAGATTTAGCGGGGAAATTTTCCGCTAAATTTAGCGGGGAAAATTTTCCGCTAAATTTAGCGGGAGAAAATTTCCGCTAGGTTAAGCGGGGAAGCTTCTCCGCTAGACTTTGCAGGGCAAATTTTCCGCTAAATCTAGCTGGGAAATTTTTTCGCTAGATTTAGCGGGGAAACTTTTCCGCTAGATTTAGCGGGAAAATTTTCCACTAGATTTAGCGAGGAAACTTTTCCGCTAGACTTTGCG